TTAAATTGGACTTACAATGAGTGAAGCTCACACAGGCACTTGGGGCAGCTCAGGGTTCTTACGTGAGATGCACGATCGGCTCCAGTCATTAGACGGAGCCCGCAGTTTGCAGCTACGTTGCAGATGGGCTTTTGTTTATGCATTTTCAGGTGAGAAAAAGTGGTTAAAAGGTGTATAAAAGTAGTGACACAGATGTATAATGAACTTATACATTAAATTAACTATTGGTGGTTCAGATTTGAGATTAATGAGGTTAAATGAGGAGTGTGAAACAGTGCACTGTTAGCTGATATGGACATCCGGAGTGGAGCCTGTTAAAGCTTGCTAGCTTGTGTATTTGTGCAGGACAGAGGTGGGACCAAGTCATTGTTTTGCAAGTCCGAGTCAAGTCTCAAGTCTTTGCGCTCAAGTCCGAGTCAAGTCTCAAGTCTTTGCGCTCAAGTCCAAGTCAAGTCTCAAGTCAGGATGGGAAAGTTCAAGTCAAGTTCAAGTCCTAAACTTTGACAAAACGAGTCTTAAACAAGTCCTTATGTGCTTTTCAACAAATGTAATGACATCGATCAACAGAATAATACTTAATAATCAAACTGCTCTCACATTAATAATTTAATAATCCATTTTCTCTCTGCTGGTAAAGTAACGTGTTTGTCTTCTATTGTAAGAGGGATCAGTAAGGTAAGGCTACCGTGACGGTTTGATTCAGAAGGAGTTTAATGTACAAGATCCCTGATGTTGAGGTGACCAGAATGTTTATTTCCACTGTGTACAACATGTTATAAGGGACCCACAATCTATCTTTATGCAAGGGATAATGTGCAGCGAGGCGTCTCTATGGGGAAAATAACACCTGAATCTAGATCCCTCTGCAGGTGGTACTTTAAGTATATTTTGATGCTAATACTTTTGTACTTTTACTTGTAACATTTTGAATGCAGGATCTTTTATTGTAACCGAGTATTCCTACACTCTGGTACTGTTACTCAAGTACAAGATCTGAACTTCTCCCACCTCTGACAATAAATCCTGAGTGGTTACCAAAAAAAAAACCCTGCTCTGAAGGTTATTTTCATTTTACAAATCCTGCACTCAGCTTTGCTTTCTCCAATATCATTGAAATGCAGCCAGATGCTGCTTCTTTTTTCGGTTTTCGCAAATTTCTTGACTTTTTCCGACGCGCTTGCATTTAAATCTGTCTCCCCGTCGCTCTGTGTAGCTGGCCTGTACCACTACACCTGCTGTCTTTGGAGCGTCTGCCCCCCACCCTTCTTTCACATAATGGTATGATCCTAGTGTGTCCTTGCATATGATTGGCCGCATGGTGGCTCAGCAAAATAAAGTCCCGCCCCTGCCTGCATGGATTCTCAGCAAGAGTTGCAGCGGCTGGAGATTCTGCTCTCCCCGACGGGAGTCTGCTCTTCTAGCGGCATCTCGCGATCGGCATGTTGGAGACCCCTGAATTAAATTATCAAGTCACCTCAAGTCAGAAGGCTCAAGTCCAAGTCAAGTCCCGAGTCATTGGTGTTCAAGTCCAAGTCGAGTCGCAAGTGTTTTGTGATTTTGTCAAGTCGAGTCCAAAGTCATCAAATTGGTAACTCGAGTCTGACTCGAGTCCAAGTCATGTGACTCGAGTCCACACCTCTGGTGCAGGATATCGTGAGTCTCGGTGATTTGTGGGAATTTAAGTGCAAGTGGACATTTTGCCTTGTGTTTTACACGTTTAAGCGTTTACAACCGACGGTTTTCATCTTTCCATACGTTTCAGTGATGTGTTTGTGTTTATGTATTTCCAGAACGAAACCAAGTAAACACATTTATTTTAAATGCACTCCTGGAAGTCACTTTTGTGTCCAAGTGTGCTAGAATTGATTTGGTTGTATGCTACCTTACACCTATACTCCACCACATCTTAGCAGTAAATATTGTTGGCTTCTTTTCTCAGAAGAGTTTACACAAGTTTTGTTAAGACCTATAAAACTTAATTTACTATCACAAATTGAACTAATTACTTTGAGATACAGTTACATTTAGCTCCACCTTGATCAACACAAACATTACCTAAAGCCTTCCTACAGTATTAATAGTAATATGACAACACTGACAAAAGCAGCTCTGCCTTAGGTGACTTTTTCTGTGCTTGCTTTAAGTTGGCTGAACTTCAGGGACATTTTCAATGCAGGACATGATTTTTCAGCTAAAATGACAATCACAGTGATACAGAATTGAAGGCGCAGAACAGGTTCATTGTTCTTGATATGTTTCAGGCTAAATTACTATGGCAGGAGGACAGGCAGATATGAGGAAATAGAGAGAGAATAAGATAAAAACCTATGGGAAAAGTATCAATACAATGGTTAGAGAAAAGACAAAATGAGGGGTGCCATTAATGAATACAGGATTGGGTTGAGAAAGGACAGATACTACATTTTTCCTTTATTTATTGCAAAGAGGCATTACTGGCAAAGTGACGGGCTCTGGCTATGCAAAGGCCAATACTATCAAGGGCTTCTCAGAAGTAACATGAACTGCTGGGTATTATTGCCTTCAACATGTTTTGAATTGGAAACCAGACTTCAGCACTAAATAACCAGAGGCTCTTGCAGCGGGGCTGAACCCTGAAAAGTGATTTCAACGGTGTGAAAATCTGCTGGATGAACTTCACATCATATATGTTCCATCACATCTTGGAATTGCAATGAGTGTCGGTTGCCAGACTTGTTTGGCTCAATGTGTGTGATTGCGGAGGTAAGTAGCCGTGAGGTAAGTGATGGGGAGAAAGAAGTCAGTCGTTACAGCCTTCATGCAGCGGGGACATTTAGTCGACAATGGCCATCTCAAAAGGGAAGGGGTGAGGGGGGTTTATTGTTGTTCAGAAAATGTTGCAATGTTTGTGTACTGGGTCAGATGTTTACAGAGTAGTTACCAATACATGTCTTCCTGTTAGATTGCAATGTCTACCATTTTGACTTCATCATACTGATGAAAGCCCTTAATGTGCATGTGATGGCCCATCCATCTTACACTGTACATGCCCTCCAGCATGCTGACTTTAAGAAGGAAACACATTTGGTATAAGGAGGGGAGGAAGGGGGGTGGACAAGCAGTTATTTCCTCTGTTTTGACTGGCCTGGCTGACTGCGACAGAAGTCCGTGCTTTATTTAGGTGCACAGTGATGTCCCCTGTTAACAGGAACAGTATCCCTGATGTCCACTCACCAATCATCACGACAGAGCACTGGACTGCCCATGGTGGAGGATTCACTGATGTTGACTTCCGGTCTCTGAAGAACTGCTGATCATCACACCACAGGAGATATGGAGAGTACCTATTGTATGTCTACACTACTGAGCAAGACACCTGACCACCTTCAGCCAGGATAGTGGGGGAAATAGACCTTTCTTCCCCCTACGTTCAGGTGTAATTGTAATAAATTGGTTCCCTTGTTTTCTGGCAGCAGGAGGAAGTGCGGCAGGGCTTTTAGTGAGGTGGATAAGACACTATGTCTCTCTGCACAATGCCACAGCTGAGCGGAGTTGTCTCCGTTGTCCTAAGACCTGCTTCTGATCTACAATGACAAAGATACAGCTTAACAACTTCTGCACTCCCACAGAGACCTGACTGATGACTTTTGCTTTGTGATTAATAGACAAACTGAGTACATTATAAAACAAGCCTAGAGGACTAAACCTCTCTAATGAGGTGCTTTGTATTTGTATGTAATTAGGAATATCGGATTATACAACTCCATTTTCTTAGAGCATGACTTCTCTTTTTTGGGCACAGTGTAACAGTTCTTCTCACAGTCAAAAAGGGGTCTATATCAACAGAAAACAAACACAATCCAATCTGATATTCACAATAATTCATTTTGTGTTACTATGGCACACCAAAAACCATAAGTAATATTGATTTACTGTTAAAATAAAGAACACATTTCTTCCCGCTGAATATTGAATGTCATAAAGCAGCTCAAATGGGAACATGCTGATACTGCAGAAAACAATACCTGTTCCCTTTTATAACAAATATGTCCCATGCCAATCTATAAAAATATCTTTATATCTTATCCATATTGACTTTAACTTTAATCCATTTACATAAATGATAAACATTGTAGCTGACATTTCAGCTGACACACTTGTAATGGAGATTTTTGTATCGCAACTTTTATTAAAACAAATAGTTTGAGACTTGTTCCACCACTGGCTCTCTTATGTTGGTCATTGTGTTAGTATCTATTTGAACTCAGTGTGCTCACTGTTTTTTTGTTACTGTGCTGCTGGCATTGCGGAAGCTTTCATCAAACATCTGCAGTCCCATTATCGCCCACAGAGCCATTGTAAGTCAAGAATCTCCCCTTATACTGTGCTTTTTATTTCAACCTCTATGTTCATAATAATTCATTATGCTATACATTACAAAATATAATTGCGGTTATAGAGCTTTTGCAGCTGTTTTGTGTGTGCAGCGTGGAGATTTGAGACAATGCAATACATGAAGCGTGTACAGTATAATGCAGCGTCAGCGTTTCATGCAACAACTTCTGAACAGTCGACTGGAGAGAAGCGAGTCGCAGACAAAAGCAAAGTTAAGAGGGCTGTTTGATTTCATTATTTTGCAATTGCATTTAAATAGTGTTTGCCGCTCTGTGTCCGGTAACACCTGTCCAGGCTCCTCTTCTCAGCTGGAGACTGAACAGAGGACCCCCCCCCCCCCTTGTCTGCAGGAAGCAGATTCGGCACATTTTACCTCCTCGAGCTTTTCGGGCTCCGGTGCAGAAACGCAGACGACACGCTTACAGGAATAAAAGGTCCTGCAGCAGAAAGCCGGATGAGGGGGGGGGCGGGGGTCCCCTTTCAGAGTAAAAAGGCGGAATGAGCAGCGTAGAGGCTGGAGGGTGACTCTCTATCTATCTCTCTCTCTCTTTCTTCCTCTCTCTCTCTATCTCTCTCCCTCTCCCTCTCCCTCTCTCTCTCTCATATACAGTAGGGTACGTGCGGGCAGTTTCGCGGCTGAAGACGGTGCACCGGTCCTGCAGAACAGCACGGGGCTGAGACGGGATTGTGTTTACTGTACAGAGACTTTCTCTCAGGAAGATGCTGGGGAAGTGGAGCCTCCTGTTCTCGCACATGTGCAGCAGTAGCAGCAGCCTGCTCCTGCTCTGGACCCTCGTTGGGCTGGATGTGGTGGAGGTGTCGGGGTCCCAGCCAGGGATCCCTCTGTCAGTGTGAGTGAGCAGCACCTCTGCAACTTTGTTTCACATGAGTTACCTGATAGGTCGATCTGTTACACAAAGGAAATGTAGACATTAATAATGCAGAATTGTATTCTTTTTTTTCCTTTAAAAAAAAAAAAAGAGGATAGAACAGGGACAGGTACAGATAGATTCGTTTATTTGTTTGAACATTTTTAAATGCATTCAAGTGGAATTCAATTAAACTAAGAAGTGAAGTTTAATTGTATGTTTATTTCCACACCACACACAGGCCTACTTAAGACACATTTGCATTTTTGCAAAAAAAGTAGCATGACTAAAAATACAACAAAATGTAGAGAAACTGAAATGTTGATTTAACTGCTAGATCTAAGAGGTTTATATTTAGTATTTGGCTGCAGTTTATAAATTAGTCAATTGATAATAATCATTATATGTGTCCATTTTAACTATACAATATTTTTATCACACATTTAAAAAAATTCCAATTGATAAAAAGGAAATTATTTTAAACGAAACAAAAAATGACCTTCTTATCTATAAGAACATTTCTAACGTTGCAAAGTTGCAAATCTCAATGCTGCAGGCCTTTATAGGTGTAATCTAATCATTTCCAATAGTCCACATATAATGCCAATAATGTACTGTTAGTGAATCACATTGTCTTTATAAAGCAGATTTTATTTGCAGTAGACGGTTGTTGTCTTTTCTAATTGCAAAAGCTTTTGTGAAATGTTGTTTTTCAAATTGTTTCTAAAACCTGAGAAGAGTATGTGTAAATATTCAAAAAGTGAATCTGACTGAGGATTACACTCATGACAGAGTTATATATTTTTTTTACATTTTGTGCAAAAACTCAAAAAGGCAAAAATGTGCAAAAAAGATTGCAGTAACATTTCCTGCAAGTTCTTTTAATAGTTCGTTTGGTTTAATATCCCAAAATATTTTGCAAACGCTTACAAACAGAACATCAATTGAGTTGAAAATCAGAACAGCTGTTTTTGTTAAACACTGTTCAGAACTGCAAATCCTTATTTCTTTTTTAATTATATATTATAAAATACTTTTCCTAATGTAGGTTCCCACAATTTCCCAATCCTATAAACAAATTCTAAGGACGTTTAAATGCGTCTTGTTCAAATGTTTAGGTACAGTGTTCCACTGCAGGCTCAGCCAGAGTCATTTGCAGTTTAATGGAAGGAGCTCCAGTAACTACAGTATAGATCATCAGAATTACAAGCAATCCTCTGTCAGGAGAGTGAAGGTCAGGGACAACGGGCCATGACCATAATCTTTTGACTGATCGTGTCAGGAAAAAAAAGCTAAAAGAAAGTGACAGCTGAGGAGAGCTTAAAGGCATTTAGGAGCTGGGGTGAGGAGAGGACAGGAAGTATTCAGTGGGAAGAAAATGATAACACATTCAAAGTGTTAACTGATGTTCAAAATAACATATCATATGAGTTACTATAAATGTACTTACTTTACTATCAATGGGGTTTTTTGCAATACATTTAAATTTGTACCAAAGAAAAAATATTCAATTAAATCAATTTCCTTTTCATTTATTTACTCATTTTTATTCACATCTTAACATACTCAGGAGATTTTTGACTAAACTGTTATTTGTCTGTTTTGTTTTCTAGCGTGAAGCTCTGGGCTTCAGCATTTGGTGGAGAAATAAAATCAATTTCTGCAAAATATTCTGGATCCCAACTCCTTCAAAAGGTAGTTTTCTTATCACCCTTCTTGTCTGAACAAATGTATTTTCCCCTTTTTGTCTGATGCTAGTTACACACATTGTACAATGTAATGCTGTATTCCCTCTGTAATGGCTGCGGAGACATTTTGGTGTCTCAGATGAATGCTGATGCGTTGTTTTAGAGGAGACTCAGGTGTGTTTAGTAGGGACAAGGCTCCATGTGTGTGTGTTTGTGTGTGCATGCATGCGTGTGCTTCCGTGTGTGTGTCTCTGTATGCGTGCATTCTTGCGCAAATGTGTGTTTGTTCTTGACACGGCCCATTAACCACGGCTCTGATTCCTCTCTCATCTCATCTCTCCAGTTAACTCTCTGGAGTCAAGAGTTTCCACCTCTGGATATGAATGTGACAAGGAGACAAATTGAATAAGTGTGTGGATGTGTTCGATAGTGGGTGAGGGGGTGAGGGAGGGAGTGTTGATATGATGAGTGAAGTCAGCAGAGACTGAGTGATGATGCTGCAGCAGATTTACCTTTCTGACCACTTGATGGCACATGTGTGCTCTGTGCTCGCAGGCCTCCGCTGAGTCTGTTCATCAGCAGGCCTATAATGTGTTTGAAGTCTACTTAACCCTTGCCAGAAATTGTACTTGTTTTAAAAGACATTCAATCTGAATTAACTCTGTACATTTCTCCTTATTATGTACAAATACAAGGAGACAGACTGGATTATAATACACCTGCTAACAGACTGCAAAAGAGATTTAGGAAAAGGATATCCACTCTGTTTTACATTCTTACTCGTTTCGACTGGGGATACTTAATGACCATGTTAAATATACACACCCAACACACTGTGTTTTTATGTCTGCATCATTACATCAAATGTAAATGTTCTGGAAAACGTGTGCATTATATGTGTCCAATGATTGGATTTGGCTATAATGATTGGACACATATAATGAACTGGGAAACAACATAAACTGTATATATAAAGGAAAACAAGAGAAGGACATACAAAGAGGGTGGAAGAGGTAAAACTGATGATGGGTTGTGTACCTGTACATAACACCTCAAACCAATACAGTAGGCAATTGGCACTTGAGGCCAACTAAATAATGGCTTTTGAAGGATTGAGACTCAAATTTCCAATGTGTTCTGTCTAATCAGCAGTTAAAGCTTGTTTTATTCTTTAGGGTCAAACTTAATGCTTGCTGGGTTTTGTAGGACACGCCACAAACTATTTATAACTATTTGTAACTAAAATGTTCGCTTTTTTGTAGTGTTGAGTTAGACTCTATTGTATATTGCATGCACAATATGAAAGAACAAAAAGATTGGAGACACTTTTTAATGTTACATATTTAATTCACTAACACCTAATACATTAGCCACAGAATGACAGTAGAATTGAATTAACACCTCTCCGACAACATGGTTTCATTGTAAGAGCTGTCATTTATCACAGGACTGCGTCACAGTGCTAGTATTTTTCTGGTCACCCAGTGAACGTGGCATCCATTTACTTCATGCAAAGTATAAATCCTGTGTAAACTGTTTTCTGGGACACCCTGTTTCTTTGTGACTTTGACGAATCTTTACTTTCTTTCTGTAGGTTGAGTTACACCATGAGACACACTTACTAATCCTTTGCATTTGACCCTGCTCACTATTTTAGGATCTGTGGGCCATCACAGCACCACGTCCAGGGACCAACTCCAGCTCTGAGCCCGGATCCCCAGTCAAGGGCAGGATTAACCCAAAAAATGCTGCATGCCTCGCAGCGTGGGAGGAGAGCGGAGGAATCAGAGGAAGTCCACGCAAACATGGGGAGAGCTTTCAAACGGCATACAGAAAGCGACTCCTGGGTCCAAACCTAGGACCTCCTTGCACTGAGGTGACAGTAATATCAAATAAGATTTAATATTCAATCATGTGGTGGAAGCTGAAGCAATGCCCTTCAATGTTTTCCCAATTATATTTCATCTTTGTACAAAAACATTTTGCTATATGCCCTGCAGATCTGTCCCCTTTCTTTTTGTGTGTATGCAAGCACTTTGTCCGTGTTCCTGTTCATGGAGGCATGTCTGCAGAGAGCTGTGCCGAGCCAGTCAGCACAAAGCAGTGAGCTGTGAGGGAGCTGACGGGTCGTTAGGGGCTCGTCATTAAGGCTGATCATTAGATGCTTTTATGGTGAATTACCCGATTTTACTAAGATTTCTGCAGAGGGGGAAACGCCGCTCCTTCACAGGCTCCCGGCCTCCCTCCTGCTTTGGTCATTGCTCTAATCAATAACCATGATCAGTGCTTTTGATGGATGGGGCTTAACCTCTTCTTGATGACTGGAGGAGTGTGAGGGGGGGCGTGGGGGGGGGGGGCATGGGGACTCCGGGTGCTGAGGCGAGGAGGACAGGCGTGAAATGAACTGTTCTGCTTCACTGAGAGCCCACACTCTTCCTTTCAGTAGGTAATTTGTCGCCTCATGTACTGGTGAGTGTGTGTTTTTGTGTGCGTCTTGTCCCGGCGATGTTTAATGTGTTTGAATGTGTGCCTTACGTGGCCCATGTATAATTTTTAGATAGGATTATAGGAATCCGACTGGACGGCGTGAGAGGATCAGGTTTTTGTTTTTATTTGCTTTGTGTTTCAGAGTGTGTATGTATGTGTGTGAGGCAGGTTTTGGGATTATGTAATGTTATATTCCTCCGAGCTGTGGCGGGCTTTGTTCTGTATCACTGGAGGTCCTGTGTATACAGCAGAATCAGCATTATGTGAGGTGTAGTTCATTACCCAGAATCGCCCAAGCTTGACACGTTATTATCTTTCTCCTGTGCTTTGACTCCATTTCAATTACCCTCTTACCATGCATAGCCTTCAGATCCAGCCCCGCCCCCTTCACCGGCCACACAACATGGCCATCTCCAGCCAATCACAGATAAAGGAGCAGTATGTGCAGCCAATGCGACGGGATAAAGACTATCAATCACTCTGTGTTGCAGGGAGGGTTTTATCAACCGTTCATCTGAGACTGGATGCATGCAGCTTGTCAGCCAACATGTGAATTCTTATAAGCCTTGTTTAACAATTCCCATCCTCTCTGGAGTGGGACGCTGGGAAACAAAAGTGCTTAGATGTTGCACAACGCACACAGAAATAGAGGATTATCCTAATTATCTTATCTGTTTTTTTTTGTCTTATTAAGTGGACATTTAATTCACCCCTAATGTGTTAATTCTGATCGGTTAATCAACCACATTAACTCATTAGGTTAGCAGTTTTTTTTCTTGCAGCCAGTTTTATAAGAGTTACAATATGTGTGAATATATGTGTGAATGCCACATTTTGATTATTTTCAGAAATATAAAGAACCTGAAAAGTCAGTCAGAGTTGAAGAAATTGATGGTGTGAAGCTGGTCAAGAACCTGGCTTTGAAGCTGGAGGAAGTGTTCTGGAAAAAAGCAGAGGCAACCAGGGTATGTGCAATATGTTCTTAAAAAAAGGCATTTCATATTTCAGGAACAATCTGCAGAATTTCATTGAGCTTGCCATCATTTTCTGCAATTGCTAAATCTACTAATGTGTGATTGAGAGATATGTGAACATTATTGTTTTGGTAAATGATGGTTTAAAAGGGGAGAACACTGTTTTATTGGTTTGTGATATTTGGTTAAGGCTGCATTGTGTCTTAAAAGGTCAAAAGAAAATATTAATGTGGACTGTCATATGTTTTCTTATAAAGTGTAAGATTTTTTTTTCAACCACAAAAGGCCTAATTTTCCTGCAGTCCCTAAATCAAGCACATGATCACTTAAAAAGCAGACTATTGTGCTGTGTTCAAAGACCAACATCTCATTGTTAATGGAAAGGTCCGTTTTGAATATGGTCTCATGTAATTTATTGCAGGCCTGAGCCTTTGTCAGCCTCCCAGCAGCAGCCTGTCTGTGACCCCAGCGCAGAGGAGCTTGTAACCATTTTAATGCTGCACCTCGCAGGGACTGCTGGGAAATGATAACGTTTATCTCCCCCCGCCTGATCCCATGTGTGCGACACTTCATGACAGCTCAGTTTATAAATGACACGTATACAAAAACGCTTAATTGAATTAACATGATTGTATTCCATGACATACATCGACGTATAAGGGTATTTTTTTGTAATTAGGTCAAAATAATAAATGGCACAAATGTAACGGTCGTAAAAAAAAAAACTACACGTGTGATAATTAAGCTAGCTACTAATCTAATGACGTCATCACTTTCTCCAAATTGAAAAGGAGTTTAAAATGAGGAAGTGACCTCAATAAAGTGTTGTAGGTCGCCTGTCTGCAGGTTTAAAACATGCGTATTCTCTATTATAAATCAGAAAAACATATATTTATTCCTTGATGTTATTTTTTTATTTTCCATCTGCTGACGACATGAAATCTCACCGCAAGGTCAATTGCATTTTGCCACAGCGCCCCAGTTGTGTTTATATAGCAGTTATTTTGACACATGTGAGAGGTGTTAATTACCTGCCTGGCTCGAGGATGTGAGTGACTGTAACGTTTAGGTGGCATTTCCCCCGGAAACTCAGAGCAAAGCACATTTTACAGAATCCAGTTATTATCGCTGCATGAAATCCTGCCTCCATCAATCATTTCACAGCTGCACTCCACAGTACTGCCCTACATTTTATGCATATTTGTGTCCTTACAAACAAATAACACAAGGTTTGCCAAGAGGAAGAAACTAACAGTTCTGTCAACAAAACCTATTATTGAGTTCAATTTAAAACTAAAGATGGACATGGATTCCGTCTAAAGATTAATCTAAAATCAGGCATTGGTCCTCCATCATGTTCCTCTTCAATGGAATGACATTTTGTTAAAGTTGAAAATAATTGAGTGGCAAAAACAACACGTTTGACAAATACAGAGAGCTGCGGGGTGTAGAAAAACTTCTGGGAATAAATGGATTTAGTCGAAGTTTGTGGAAGGATAGAGAAGCGAATGCTGAATATTTCCCTAACGTAAATATCAACATTTTTTTTGTAATTGAGTTGCATGTATGTTTTAACCTATAACATTGCCTTTATAAGACATTATTAACCACCGTTTCTCCGCCCCTCAGCGGCTGGTGGAGGCAGCAGAAGAAGCGCACCATCAGCATGAAGATAATCCCGACCTGCAGGTGAGGTTTGTCCCCGACAAAGAAAAGTAAAGAGGGATATAATTATTCTTTAAAATAGGTGTGACATCGTGTTAGACCATGATGCATTTTAGTTGGGCAAGATGCTGCAAGGTTAGAGAAGGGTAATAGGCCCTAAAAGTCTTTAATTGCGTTGGCATCGCCCTTCACACTCAAGTCCTGTCAGCGCTTTGATACATAACGCTTCTTTGATAAGCAATGCCGCACATATTGAAGGCTGCAGTGCCATGCTGCCATAACTCACACTGACTGTTTTTACATGTTATCGTTGCTCAAAGCAAGCCTGTGCTGCTGCAGCTGGTGAGCGAATAACTGTAATAGGCTACAGTATGCAGCTGTGTCCTGATGAATGCAGAATTAAAAGATGTGCTGCAGGTTGTAATGCATGGTTAAATATTTCGATTAAAGTAGTAACATTTTCCAGGAGAGAGATCATTTAGGACTCGTTCTTTGTGGCTAAGGCAGCGATTTAAAAAAATGGAGATAGAAGTCGGCCTGCAGTGATTTTCCTTTTAGTCGTATTTTACACTGAATGCTCTCCAGGACGTTGTTCAGAGGCTCTCACAGTGCGGATTTCCACGGCACACTGAGCCTCCAAGTGTCTGCAGAGGGAATGCAGTATTTCTGTGGTTTGTTGGTGTCTCTCTCTCTCTCTCTCTCTCTCTCTCTCTCTCTCTCTCTCTCTCTCTCTCTATATCTCGATCTCCGTCTCCTCGGTGGCTCTCTCATTGTCTCTTATCTCTCCTCTCTCTCTCCCTCCCTCCCTCCCCTCTCTTCTGCCTCTCCCCCCCCTTCTCTCTCTCACCGGACAAAGACAAATGAAACTCTTTTGCGCGGCGCCATTGTTTCACTTTCCTGGCTCTAATTGGAACACACCACGTCGAGCCAACAAAACACTGAATAACGACGGTACTTTACACTTAATAGTAGCATTTACATCATAGGAATGCATTTCCCTTCCTTGTTCCGACCTTTGAGCACTTTCTACAAAAAAACGACTGATCATTTTTGACTAATAATAAGGAATTGTTATTTATTAGTTTAAGCCTTTATCGTTAATCGTATTTGACCTCTTCTTAAATACATATTCCATATAGTATGGATTTTCCCTCTAAAGCTAATTATTTACAAAAATATATTTTACTGAAATATTTATACATGAAGCCAATACTGTAGGACTTGTTTTTATTACATATTTTTAATGAATGTTATTAATCATCTTTTTAAACAAGGCTTCCTTCTCCAAATGTCATTGACAATATATCTCTTATATCTCTTCATCTTTCAAACCATTAATCTTTAAATCGAACAATATATATGGACTCCACAAATATAATACAACACCAGTATTAATACAAATTCCTTAAAATATATTTTAGATAAAACATTTTCATAACAATTCTGCAAAATGTACTTTATGATAGGTTTCTATTCTAACTATGAATTTGTTTTTTAAATACCTCTATATGACAATAAATTATTTAGTTAAGTTAAGCTTTTAGATTTTTATTTTCTTTCAAGCTATTATATTCAGCACAGGCCCATCAAAGACATTTCATCTTAAAGGCCATAAAAATAATAAGGAAAATTCAATATCCTGCGATAATGATGTGATGTCATGATATTACTCCTCGTGGCATCATTTAGCCGCCTCCCCTGACACTGCACATTTTTCACGCACCATTTCACTGACCACAATGAGATAAGCCGGCTGCTCTTATCTCAGCTGCTTCGTGTCAGGACAGTCGGTGTTTTGCATTGACCCGATCATAGTCAGAAGTTCAAGGGTGTGCAGATCAAATCTGCAAAAAGAGACTTGGTTCTAAAATGTTATTTACATTAATGTTTCTTGGCTTAAAGTTTCTTTGGCTTAATGTTTTCTAATAGAGCTTAACCTTTAACTCTCGACATTTATGTGGACCTAGAAAAAGAGTCTGATGTAAAAATCAGGAACATTTGGATATATGTCAGAAATATGAAATGTTAATGTTATCTAAATTATCATTTTAAATTAAGCAGCAGAGTGTTTGCATTTAATGTTCCTTGTCTGCATTCAAGCTCTTTTTAACCTTTGTCCCAAAACCTTGTCTTAAGAAGCCTTAAGGAAAAGGCCCACTGCTTTTTCCCCTTACATTTTTTAAGCATATAAAAGGTATTGTGTGATTTAAAATTAATGTTTAGTATTTACGTTCATTTAAATGGAGTAGAAGTATGTTATTAAAATGCTACATGATTATATTTGTTTTATTGGTTGCTGTTATCACAGTGGTTTCTAAGAATCATAAGAAAAATAATGTAGTTATTTGTTATAGTACAGTCCAGAGTGTATTTTGCCTATATCAAAGATACAACTATACAAGGGGGATTGTGCTATAAAATAAAGTATATTTTTTGTGGATCAAATATTACTGTACCGAACATCTAAAAAAACACGTCCCCTTGAACAATGTGATCCGTAAAAAATCAGTGCGCAGTGCAGCTTCTAAACAAGTTATTCAACTACGAAGCTTTTCGTTATAGAAAACGCAGCAAAGTCAGGGCCTGTTAAACCATCAGGGAAAAGAGAGAAGTCTTATTTGGACCAACTGTCTCCAGACTTTGGCGGTACACATTAAGACCCAGTAGCCCGTATTGTAGCTTCTCATTCTGCAGCAGGGCCTCCAGCTAACTGCGGTGGTGCGAGAGTCGGTCGGGCGTCTCAGAGAGCTGCAGTGTCCCATGGCCTGCTCTACAGTAATAACCCTGGTGGTTAACGTGCCTCTCTACAGCACTATCAGTTCTGCTGAGGGTGCACGTTTCTCTCCCCCGCTGCTCCCCTCTGCAGCAACACCCACCACCACCACCCGCCCTGCCGCAGCTCGTCAGGGAGCTGCTCAGGCGTGGTATGAGCTGTCAGCGGCTGCTTGATGGTGATGCCCGTGCGGCCTCCCCCGAGTGTGATGCTGTAGAGTCCATCACCCATCTCTCTCCCTCTCTCTCTCTCTCTCTCTCTCTCTCTCTCTCTCTCTCTCCTCTCTCCTCTCTCTCTCTCCCTCCCCTCTCTCTCACTCTCCCTCTCCTCCTCCCTCTCTTGGTGCAGCCAATATAAGAGGCACAGGCCACAGAGAGGCCGCTCAGATGAGGTAGTCCTTCTTCTGCAGGTAGTGAAGGACAGGACAGACAAACTGTTGAGTTTCACTTTAAAGAGGCAAGACTTTTCACTAGCAGCCATGAAGTCCTTTTTGCACTTCCTCCTTACATGATACTGACTATTAGAGCTGCTGTAGTGAATACACATTTCACAAAGCAAAGCGTCGCTGAGCAAGCCACCAAATGTATCACAAATGTTGTTTGTAATTGGAGGAAATTACTTGGATAATTTTAGTCATAAGCCTCTTTCAAATAAATGCAATATAAACATGTTGTATAATATTTCCAGATTGTGGGAAGCTATGAAACCATGTAATTATGAATCATTTAAACCCTATTTTATTATCTTATTTTATTGGGATACTTGCTTTATTTGCAGTACTTCATTCTGTCATCTTTACTTTTTTTTTCTTCATTATGAGCTTATTCTGCTGTGAGGACAAAGCACACATTGCTATATGTTTTGATAAATATTGCGTGGGAGAAAAGCATTAACTTTATGAGGGAAAAGTGTGTAACCCCTTAAGTCTCCATCCGCCTCAGTAACACTGTCAGGGGAAACAGAGTCTAAACGACTAACTTTAGATATACTTGGAACGCTCAGACTTTGGTTGAACTTTAGAGTGGATATTTTTGCACAGACCAGGTCTATGTATTTTCTACTCCATCATTTACATTAAAATCCCTTTTTGAAGATAATTTTGTATGCTAATGATTTTAGCAAGATACATTTCTTCAGTTACATTTGAGATCGGAAGTATTGCTTAAAGCTAGTTTGGTTTAAACAAACCTATCTTTTAAGCACTAATACCAACACAATATCAAGTTTTATTACAGTTAATGTAAAACTATTCTCTCTTTTCCTCAGTACGAGTACTTCAACGCCGTGCTGATCAATGAGGTGGACGAGGAGGGCAATAACGTAGAGCTCGGCGGAGAGTTCCTCCTGGAGCCCAACGACCATTTCAATAACCTGTCAGTCAACCTGAGCCTCAGCGTGGTGCAGGTGCCGACCAACATGTACAACAAAGGTGAGAGCTCTGTCATCATGTGAGTGATATTTACCCACTGTGGGCTGATGAACTGGGAGGAGAACAGGAGGGAGGAAAGTAAGTGGAGAGAGAGAGAAATGGTAGCTAATTCTGTATCAGTGTCACGGCCTGGGAGAAGTGGAGTTGTGGGATCAATAACAGTCCAGACATAAAGGGAAAGCAACTGCAGACCTCTCAAGGAGACTGGAAAAGAGTGTTGAGCGGGTGGTGGGGTGGGAAAGATGTTTGTCATACGCTTGCTGTTAAGTCGCTTCTTGTTTTTTAACGGAGTGTGTCACCTCGCTCTGTGAATCACCAGGGCCGCTTTTGTTTGGCTGTAATGAACTCCCCATAAGTCTCTGTTCACAGCACAAAGGGAGGGTCGTCCAGCAGGAGGAGGGGAGGGGATGATTTAGTCACAGGCTTTGTATCTCCTTCAGGGGGGTCAATAAGGGACAAAGGTCAACTGTGCACTCTGTAATAGTAACCAGGATGATGACTATTATCACCATTTAATTTACTAGTTTTTCCTCTTTTCTCTGCCTTTTCCCCACATCCTCCTCAGATCCTGATATAGTGAACGGAGTCTACTGGTCCGAGGCTCTGAATAAAGTATTTGTGGATAATTTTGAAAGAGACCCAACGCTGATCTGGCAGTACTTTGGGAGCGCCAAAGGTTTCTTCAGGCAGTACCCTGGTGAGTGCTGTCAATGTGTCTGTCTGTCTGTCGTTGCTTTTAACTGTCTGTCCTGTGTGTGTGTGTGTGTGTGTGTGTGTGTGTGTGTGTGTGTGTGTGTGTGTGTGTGTGTGTGTTGTGTGTGTGTGTGTGTGTGTGTGTGTGTGTGTGTGTGTGTGTGTGTGTGTGTGTGTGTGTGTGTGTGTGTGTGTGTGTTTGAAAATAACCATCAGACGACAGTACAAGACAAAAAAACCCAGATCAGAACAAATGATTTAGAATCACTAAAGGGGTAATTTGGCTAATGTTGTAATTTTACAGACCATCAGAGAGGATGCATATATACAGACTGTAATTAATCAGAATTTGCCGGTGTGGGTCTGCTGTCGTGCTGAGGAACAGCGCGTGGCTGCTGGATCCAACCGAACCCATCAGACTGTTACATTGAAACACTGCAGTGCTAAGGTAGCGCTACAGAAAGACAGCTGATGAGGATATTACAATACAGACATAGACTCTGTGTGACTTTTAATTTGAAACAATTGATATTAAGGAGATCACTCCACACTACTTTAGTTTTACCAATGTATTCATCATGTATATCATATATTCAAAAAGCACTCTTCTAACTCTTCTTGGATTCTGGGTTCCTGCTTCATGAAATATCCAGAGAGTTTTCAAATTAATAAAGACAGATAGATCCCCAAAATATGTAGATTATACCGTGGACAGTATTGGAAAGTGACTAAGTACATTTACTCAAGCACTTGGGCCTGTAACATCTCCTAAACCTTACTCGAGTACCTAAAGAAATTTAAGGGAGATTTCACACTTTTCACTTCACTACATTTATTTCCCCCTCCTTTCAGATAAAGATTTTCTATACAAAAGATAGGACCAGTTTAGAACATATGGTATATTTGTATTAGTTAATAATAACCCTCTCCTTGACTAACTACAACATCAAGGTACATGCTAAAAGCCAATAATCCTAAATATCCGTGACATGATCAACCATTTTAAGTTGTTATTTATTGAGCAATTAACAGTGCAGCTCCTTCATCGTGACTGTGTCCGTGTGTTGCTCAGAGATATGTGACAACACGTGGTTTAATCTGAGGCCCGCCTGCTTTAAGTTACGACAACTCTTCTAACCTTTGCAAAAACATGTATTTCCATGCAGGACTGCATTTCTCACAGTAAAATAATTTATTGAGAAAAAAGTTGTTCATAGCTTTTAATGTATCCAGTTGAATATTAATGATCTAACACTATAGTAATATAGCACTTAGGCTATTTTGCAGTTTATTTAGCTAATGATGCATTTATTTACTTTCGATACTTTTGTAATTAGAAACATTTGAATGTAAGACGTTTTTTTTTACACATACAGTGAATTTGTTCTGTTAGTCAATTGAAGGTTCTTCTATCTACACTGTTATATATGTAGGATTTAATTCATCTAAAACTCAATTAATGGACACCAATAAAATTTTTAAAAAAGCCTTTTAAACTTACAGCATTGTTGGTAACCTCCCTGTGAATGTAAAGTATAATTTGTTTGTGAGGACTTAATACAGTCAGCTTTAAATATAAAACAACCCAACATGCACTATATGGTGCAGTTCATCTTTCAGGTTGATTATTAACTGTTAAATGTTGTGATTTAATATCTCTCATTCCTTCTCTTTACTTACTTTCTGATCTACTTTTCAGGAGTAAAGTGGCATCCAGATGAACATGGTGTGATTGGATTTGACTGTAGAAACAGGAAGTGGTAAGCCTACATACTAGACCCCAATGTGCTGCTCTGTTACTGCATTTTATCGTCTGCAATATTTCTCAATTTCTTACTTATTACTGCGACAAGGTGTCAACATGTGTTATGTAACATTCCAGGTATATTCAAGCAGCAACGTCCCCTAAAGATGTTGTCATCTTAATCGATGTGAGTGGAAGCATGAAAGGACTGAGGCTGACCATCGCCAGGCAGACGGTCTCCTCCATATTAGACACACTTGGAGATGATGACTTCTTCAACGTCATTGCAGTACGTTTTTACTTCAACTTTTCCTTAGTTTGTGTCTTTATTTGTTTATATGTTTGTGCATGTCTCTGTCTTCAGCCTGGTTTCACTGTCTGTAATCTTAACAACATATTGTCACATTTCTGTGTTAAGTATTTAAGAGAACTGGACCTCGGTATGTATGGATGTATCTAAATGTTTTGGCATCCCACAGTATAATCAGGAGATCCACTATGTGGAGCCTTGTTTGAATGGCACTCTGGTCCGAGCCGACAGGACCAATAAAGACGTGAGTCGAGCTCATTCTGATATGGGATGAATGTACGTTGATTGTTTCAGCTTGAATTTCTGTCATTGATGTTTAAAATGTTTATATTTGTTTTTATTGCTAGCATTTCCGCGAACATCTGAAAAAGCTGTTTGCTAAGGGGATCGGGCTGCTGGGCGTCGCTCTGGCTGAAGCGTTCACAATCCTGAATGAAGTAAGTTCCCGTACAGTAAACCTCTCTCACTCTGCGACTGACACATTGATAGGGATGCTGTGCAAACACAAAGCAAGTCTATATTCCACTGAAGTAATATATCCCTAAAGTCTACTGTTAACAGACTGTGTGACAATTCTGTTGAGTTTTCCCAACATTAATCATTTATTTATCGATTCATTTGAACTTATAATAATGAATATCTTCCCTGTTATGACATATCTGCTTAGGTTTCATTTAACTGAAGGACTCCACGTGAACATGGGGAAAACCTTCATTTTATAAGCTACTATTTTTTCAGTGAAGGGAAGTGTTCAAGTACAACCCTCTGCATGTTCTCTGCTAATCATTAAAAGTAGCACACTCCAGTCGGTTATATTTGAGCGTTCGGGAGGTGTGTCGGCTGTCGAACCGCTCCAGCGCTATCCCTGTTCCGCCCTCCAAACACAGACACATCTATTCTGAATCATGATTAATGGCTCTAATTAATGTTGATGATTAATAACGTGGCTGATTGGAACACAAAGCAGATAAGGCCAGGAGCCACGCCGCACTCCTTTTATCTCCCTGTTTTCAGGCAAGCTTTCCTGCGCCGCTGAGGGACTGCAGCTTTTACCTCTGCATTTGTCAGATTAATTAAAGCCATGCAATGAATATGGTAATCAGGTAGCCAGTATCCTGCCGCTGAAAGTCATTGCCACGCCGCTGCCCAGTGAATGAAGTCGAAATGCATCCTATCAAAGACCACATCAAAGAGAAACATGCTTCACTTGAAGAGCACTGCACCATTTTCACAGGAGGAGTGTTACGATTAAGGAAAAAAATGATATTGATTAAGGCACCGTCTCACCCTCTCACAGGCAGATGATGTGGAAGAATACTCAAGAAGGGAGCATAATAAAACTTCACCATATATTACTATTCCCAAATCTTTCCCTTTTTCAATGATGTTATAACAAGATCATTGATTTAACTCTCTAAGGTGGAGATTGATTAGATTGTATCAGCATCAATTGTTGCTGTCATTGATTATGTCTTTTATCGTTAACATTTAGATTTACTCATCCTTATTTACTTACAATACTGAAACATATGGCATGATATTCAAACAAGCGCTAAGCTGAAGGACAGATGCTCAGCAGCAGACAGTACAGACACTCACTCTGTCACTTTGCCTCAGGGAATACAGACCCCACATTAGAAATAATATATTTATTTTGAATAAACATAACTAACTCATAGCATGTCCAAATCAGCAACACCAGCAAGGAAAGCATACATAGCGTGTATGTGCTGTGATGGTTGTTAAACAATGGGAAAGAAGCAGATGCAGGTAGGAAACGAGCTGAAGTGAAAGAGAAAATGAAGACATCTGGCGAATCAGAGAAGCCGTTGACCCTCTCATATCAGCCATTTGAGTTTTGAGCTTGTTGAAGATTTCACACAAACTGCGGGAGGGGAGTGCTCACTGCAACGACTGCTTCACTGCGCTAGAACACAGATCAAATCAATGAAACTATGGGTCAATTTTAATCATCATCTTCAGTGTCAGACTCATGGTGTTGTGCATGATTGCTCACTGTCACTGCTTACTGGGCAACTTAATAAAAGAGAGCAACTGCTAAAATTATGAATTACACCTGAGCTTTTCTTTCCTGCGGCAAATCATAAAGTCAACTGTGAAGGTCTGTTGTGAGCAAAACAATTAACATTTAAAATTGTGCGGATGAACTTCTAACTTAAAGGTGGGGTAGGTAATTTTGGAGAAACCAGCTCGAGTGCGCTAGAATTTGAAAATACACAACCGGAACAAATCTGCCACTTCCTTACAGAGCCCCTCCTCCAACACACACGAACGCGCACATGACCAATGAGGGCACGAGATAAGTTTGTGCACAGATGGAAGGCTGACAGGCAGGTAGGCCATCCAGTTATTTTAGCCAGGCCGGCTAAAATGATTGGTCGTACTTTTTACAGTATTACGGCTTCCACAGATGACATTTTTTTATGGATTTTTTGTCAAATCACTTAAGATATTCATTGCTATCGGGATGTTAAGAGCATTCCATGGAATATAACAAAAAGTGTATCTCGAGCCGGTTTCTCAAACTTAACTACCCCACCTTTAAGAGTTTATTTCCTATAATTGAACATAAAAGAATAGATAACAATTAAACATTTCTTTAATAATTAACTTGTATATGTTTTGTACGATGGACATAATGGAATGACTGTGCGCAATGTAACTTCTTACATGACATGGCATCACAGTTTCTACAAGATGTTCTCAACATGAGAGATCTGAAGGCCTCAGTGATTTGAGAGTAGCTCTGCAGGTTTAATCCCGTCATCGTGTCACTACACCCTCCCTTTTTTCTCCACATTGACTCTGTTACAGGTCAATAAACCACTTAATTACTGCGATGCATCTTCTGGCATCAGAATAAAGTGGAGCACACTCTTTATTTACCAAGACATTATCTGTACTGTATTGGCTGATGGCTGCAAAATCGTTTACAATGGAGACAGACAGCTCTGTTTGTTTAATGTTTCAATAACAATGCATATAGTTTATATTTTTGTTTTGTTTACTTTAAATCTTTATGGTTTTTATGTCTTTCTGCAGTTTAATCAAACTGGACATGGCAGTTTGTGCAGCCAGGCCATAATGCTCGTGACTGACGGGGCGACAGAAATGTATGACGACGTTTTTGAGAAGTACAACTGGCCAGAAAGAAAGGTGGGTTTCTCTTTCTTTCTTTCTTTCTTTCTTTCTTTCCCCCTCTCTTCTGTTCTTCACGGTGTCAATTTTTTAAATGTTATTAGTGTCCTTATTCAGAATGTTCTGCTTGCTCAGCATGTTTCTTACAGCAGGGATAAATGTACATTTGAACACTTAATGTCAGCTGGAGCTCCTGTCTTGATGTTTTGAGGAATTGGTTTATTACGTCATTAGCACTCAGAACTCTGTAATGTACCATCTACTGTATGTCATAAGCAGTTGTTCACGTGTTGGTGCATTACAACGGAACATTTCCCCCTTCTTTACAGTGCAAGCAGCTCTTTCTCTGTCCCTCGCCCCCCCACCCCCCCACACCCCCACCCCCCCTTCCCTCCCTCTGCTTTCTTCCTGGACTCAAGGACGACTTTAAAATCTTTTGTTAGCCTCCCTTTGTGAGACCTAAATGCAATTGAAATTAAATGGTTTGCTGTGCCACTCACAAAGCAATAAAAACAACAGCCCAGGGGCTTTTGTTCAGTCCTACCAAGCATATGTGTGCTGGCAGTGTGTGGCAGGGTACGGGGCAGTATTTGGCTGAATAACCCCCCCCCCCCTTACACCCTCAGGGCCGCCATTCACTGATTTCTATATGCTTCATGCTTAGCAAAGCATCTGGAGCCAATGAGCCGTGCAGGTTTGACAAAATGTCACACTGAGTTCTTGAAAAGGACAGAGAAACATGCCCTAATGCCAAACCCCTACAAAAGAACATGAACTGAAATCAGCTACAGAATGAGCAAACTGAGAAAAAGCTTATTGTTAAACATACAGACAAAAATGGAGTGAATGATAGTTGAGAGAATGATAAAAAAGCAGCCTAATGCTTGGTGTTTCCTTACAAGGATGTGAAAACATGCAGCTACTTCTTGCTCCAAAGCCTGATAGAATCAGGACAGGAAGACAAAGCACGAAGGAGTCGCCTCACTTTGCATGTTTTTTTGTAATCCTTCCATCTTTGAAACTGTCGACATCCATGTGTCCTCTGCACAGGTGCGAATATTCCCATACCTGATTGGACGAGAGTCTGCATATGCTGACAACCTCAAGTGGATGGCTTGTGCCAACAAAGGTTTGGGATTTTTTGATAAACACTGATCAGGACAGCTCAGAGTCGAGCTGATGTTTCTGTGGAGTGATACGACAACGGTGGAGGATGTGTGGGTAACCGTGTGGTTAGGCAGTGTATGTGTGAGTGGTGTGTATTTGCGTGTGTGCATGTATGTGTATGTGCTGGCTCAGACTCTTTTCGCCAAGAGGCAATGAAGTGGCACTTGGGGGGGGTCAGAGGTCAATCCGCTCTAATCCCTCTTCCTGTCAGAGTGTCTCCCCCTCGGCTGCTCGCTGCTGATGGCTCCCACGTGTCAACGCTGTGGATGAGTGCCCTCTGGAAGGGAAAGTCACAGGCAGGAAAACAGATCACAGAGGGATTGTAGGGAAACAAGCCCCCAACATCCTTCCCCATACAGACCCCCACTGTGGAATAACCTTACATGTCCAATATGAGTCATTGTCAGCAACAGCAGAGGCTGACACGAGTAAAATGGCACCTGTGTCACTGTTAACTGAGTGTTTACATCAGCAGCAAATAACAAGATGATGTAAGGGCACTGGGGAAACTTGGACACATTTTTGTGATAGCACTTTTATTCAAGTTTACGATGGAGGACTTAAGGCTGCTGATCCAATACGTCCACATCATCAGATCACGAGATATCAGTGAAGTGTAATATTAGTCACAATACACCGGTATTGAAAAATCTTTCAAAAATGAGATATTAATTTTCAAACAATTTAAAAAAAAAAAGGTCCTGGGAAACATTTCTGTTGCTTTCTGTTCTCATTTCTCTCCCCCAAGGACCCACACACAAATGTAGTGTAATTTATTTGCCAAAAAAAAGACAAAGCAGACAATAAACAAAGTCAAATTGGTAGCATTTATTACATTTTTCCGTGTTTTCTATCGATATTGCGATAATATTTTGTGGATTATTTTGGGCACGAAATCTGTTTTGTAACATTACCGTAATCCAAATACATAACTCCACGTGTAAGATGTTTTGCCTTATTTTAGGTAATATACATGTGTTCTTATATTCAGGATATTTCAGTCAGATCTCCACGCTAGCAGATGTTCAGGAGAACGTGATGAGATATCTGCACGTCATGAGCCGCCCGAAGGTCATCGACCACGAGCACGACACGGTGTGGACTGAAGCTTACGTGGACAGTGCTGTGAGTGTTTCAGCGCTTTACTTCTTAGGTAGAAACGGTATCATAACTTCCTCTGATTGTCCAAGTTATGAGTCCTTATTCTCGATTTACATTTGTATATGAGTTACAGTGCATGCTTTTATGTACAGTGCAGCATCCTGTTTTGTTTCCACATTTTGAAGCTGTAGTTTGTTGCACGATTCATGTTTTATTGTCCATCCCTGCACTATAAAGTACGTGTGCACATGTGTGGCTCTGCTTTCTCATCATTACTCTTCATGCTGCTGGAATGATTCCTCATTATGAGCTTCATTAATCTGCATGGATCCCCCCCCCACCCCACCCCCGTTGTACATCTGCGTCCACAAAGTCAATGTGAAGGCTCTAATTCACGATTCAATCTCTATGCGTCTCTTCTTTCGTTTCAGCTTTCCCAGGCTCATAAGGTAAATATCCAAATGTGTTCGGACCTTTGCTTTCAGGTAGAATCGTTATTGTAAAAAAACATTTGTTGTCTTACCGAAAAAGAAATCGACCAGATGCTGTAGGAAAAAGTTCTGAACTAGAATCAAAAAGGAGATTATGAGCATGAAATGAAAGGGTTCCACTGGGACGCTGCAAATCTGAGTCATGTTGTATAAAGTGGAAGTGACTGGAGAGGTTAAATAGCCGCTTACTGCCCATACTTTTCAACATTATGCTTTACCGTTTCTTACAAAGTCTAAGGTGAGGAGAAGAGACTCTGAGGGGCAGGAGCAGCAGGGAAGCATTTATTGTAACAGTATGGAGACGATGAACACACACACACACATACACACACACACACGCACACGCACACACACACACACACACGCACACAGAAGGGCTGGGAGATTGTCCTCTGGAGTGTGTGCTCTTGTATCTCAGACTCAGACACACCATTCATCATTCTGTGGATCATTGCATTTTATCTCCTAAAGCCCATAATAAAACTGACATTGGAGGGGAGACCAAGAAAGAGGGAGAGGAGAGGGAGAGAGGAGGGGGGGGGGGGCAGTGTGGACGTGTGTGGGTGTGTGTGTGTGTGTGTGTGTGTGTGTGTGTGTGTGTGTGTGTGTGTGTGTGTGTGTGTGTGTGTGTGTGTGTGTGTGTGTAGACTAAAGCAGTCCAGTTTCCACTTCCATTGTGTGTTTCTTGTGATGAATTTAAGGACCCACCATTCTTCATTTTGTCAAGTTGGAGAGTACACACTGCAGTGCACAGCTATTTGCTTCACATACATGCACATACACAAATGCATATCACACACACACAGGATGTAGGCACACAGCTGTGTCAGCTCGAGGTGAGGGAATAGTAGACCTACTTTAACGGCGCTCATGTGCTTAATTATGTCAGGCTTCATCCTGCAGAGCCCTCTGAGCGTCACTTGAGACTCTCACGGTCCAGTTTGACAACAGAAAGACTGCGACCAGGACCCTGTATGATTCTGCAGGAATTCATTTGGATTCTTATTTTAATTAATTCGGTGTCAAATAGTACCAGGATGTAGTGAGACCTTTTTTTCTGCTCCCTACCACAGTATTTCATTTTGTAGACACTTTTGGCTTCTTATTACCTAGCCCTGAAGCTGTCATTCTCTGCTGAATAACTCATGCTTCTTTCTTTTCTATCTGGGAATTTAAATTGAATTTCATGTCAATTAGGCTGCCTCCTCACTGGTAATTAGCTGCTGTAACCAACAAAATTGCTTTTTCTTCGCAGGCATTGATTAACATTTCCACGGCGGCTGTTCTTTTTATTTGATTTTTTTTCATTATTAAACATCGTTAATTGCAATTTTTGTAGATGTTGCTGTAATAGTTGAGGAAGAAGTCACATTTTCTTCAGAGTCTCAGCTTGTCTACTCGTGTTGAATAAAACACTGTACACATACATACAGTGTTGTTATTGTTAAGAATTAATGAGGTGTGCTGATGAATAAATGCTGAGTCAATCTAAAAGTTCTCCCATCATGTTTGAATGTGCTTCTTTCTCTGAGCAGTTTTTGACTGATGCTAACAAACCTGACCAGAGAGCATGCTGATACTCCTCTAAATGAGATTACTCAGGTAAAGATTCAACGGTTTCTAATTCTCTTTTTCTCAGTTGAAGGACAAATCGGGCCCAAGTCTGATGACCACAGTCGCCATGCCTGTCTTCAGCACAAAGAATGAAACGGTGAGTGAACGTGGTTGACTCGTGATGTTGGAAACTATCTGTACTTTACTCAAGAAAAATATTGACATAGTTACTTTCTTCATCCTCTTTATTTATTCGACAGCTTCAGTTGCAAGTTACACACATAACATATGATACACCTCTTCAATTGAATACATTATTAAAGAATAAACAATGGCTTTTAATCGTGTTTGATGTGGCTACTTTTTGTTGCAAACATATTGATTAATTAGTATTATCTAAAACTGTCATCTATATTAACATATCAGTGACATAGGACATTTCATATGTAACACGCTTTTACTTTTGATACTTTAAGTACATTTTGAGTAATTCATTACTTTTACTGATGTATGATTGGAAATCAGGACTTGTACTTGTAAAAGAGTTTTCTTTATCTTGTGGTATTGGTACTTTCACCAGCATTTAAGGAGCTTTAGGTTAATGTTCGTGCAAATTTCATCTAAAGTCGTGTGTGTGTTTTGGATCTCCTCATGCAGAAGAACCAGGGGATTCTGTTGGGGGTTGCGGGAACAGACATCCCTCTGCAGGAGCTGATGAAGCTTATCCCTAAACATATGGTACAGTCAGCTGTTCTTTAAAATGTCAATACATTATTTCATTTTTGTGAATATATTACTGAAGTCTTCTTCCTTGTGTATCTCACTTTGTGTCTCCAGTTAGGAATCCATGGGTACGCTTTTGCCATCACAAACAACGGCTACATCCTGATACACCCGGACCTCAGGCCTTTGGTAACTCACTTTCTTAACATGGCTTTTAAACCAGAACAATCTCACAGCATTCCCTGACTTTACCCAGTTTTCCTTTTTGTTTTTTCCATGAAATTGTATACAAAAAAGTAACAAGCCCACTTCACAAGGGCACACAGAAAAAGAATGTGTTAGGAGGCTCAATGGGCACGTATATATCTGTAATCCCCACCTTTTCCTTTGATGTATGCATGCAGGGATAAAGGCCACTCATAGGGCTGACTGGCCTGAGATTTCCCAGAGGTAACTTAACCCTCGCTGGCAGAGACCACAGCCGCTCACCCTGGGACCGCTGGTTCCTCAGGAGCTCTGTGTGTGCCAGTGTAGTGCTATTCCTCTCTGTGCAACTGTGTGTGTGTGTGTCTGTGTTTCGTGAGTGTCTCCTTGTGGCTAAAACTGTGCTGTGGTTGTAGTCATTGACTGGTTGTTTCTTGTGGAGCAGATGTCATACTGTAGCAGAGTTTGACATGTACAGTTTAATGCTTTGGTGTATTTAAGCGTGGATATCCTATCAATCATATTAATTATTTTTAATTTACATGACAGTGTTAATTTCACAGATGATTTGTTAAATAATTACACAGCAAAACCCCTTCATAGCGAGGCTTGATAAATAAGAGCATACAGCAAGTGTTCATGTTAACATCCAAACACAAAGGACAGATTACAGTTAAGCTTTTTAATATCAAGCTCATACATTTCAAAACGATCTGTCACATGCAGATTTGCGTGGTTATTTAAAATAAAATGTCATGACATAAAATGGATCATTAAAGTGTTTATATGTTGTTCCCCTGTGCAGTATCAGGATGGCAAGAAGAGGAGGAAGCCCAACTACAGCAGCGTGGATCTCTCCGAGGTGGAGTGGGAAGACAAAGATGATATTGTACGTGCCTGACCCCTAAAACATATGTTATTTTGAGCGGTATTATGCTTTTTGATGCTGCATCAAGTTACAAAAACGCTATATATTTTATTCATTTTCCAATTTCCATTTTCTTTTTAAATGAATAACATGATCTTGGGTTTATATCAGACACAAATCTTTACCTAACGACATAAACTTAGAACGGAAGTGGCATAGAAGTAACAACTAGATGTACTTTGGTGTACATGCAACATTGTTTGACTGCAATTAAAAAATGTGACATGGTTACCGGACTTCATGTTTATAAGTTTGTCCAGTAAAGGATCTACTATTTCATTTGATATGGTATGACTCTGTTTTCAGTATCCTAGTGACATGGCAGCTGCATCCAGTGTGCTGCAGTGACCCAGCCTCGACCTCTCTGCTCTATGTGCTTTTTAAAGTGCTTTATCTTTCAGCTACGAAACGCTATGGTGAAAAGAAGGACAGGGACTTTCTCTATGGAGGTGAAGAAGACGGTGGATGGAGGGGTGAGGCTGCACATAGACTTTTAATGCCTCCCTATCAGATGAGGGTTGTTCTCTTCGTTGTCTCTGAATTTAAGGAGTAAATCTCATCTGCATTTCCTTTTCGTTTTTTTAGAGGCGTGTCCTGAAGATGCACAATGACTATTTCTACACTGACATCAAAGGAACGCCGTTCAGGTGAGGGAAGAGTGGCCATGCATTCCTGAAATGATTTCCTGTCAGTTTGTGTCTCAGCTAAAGTTTGATTGTGTTTGTGTCTCCAGTGTTGGGGTGGCCCTGTCCAGAGGTCATGGGAAGTACTTCTTCAGAGGAAATGTCTCAGTTGAAGCCGGTATGTCACTCCAACCCTGTCATTTAGTGAATACAGCGAAACGCATGTCACTCTGACTGGGGCTCTTGTATCAGTCCACCCAGGCTGGCACTGCTGAAGCGTGACTGACTTGTGTTTTTCAGGGCTCCGTGATCTGGAACAGCCAGATGTCGCCCTGGCAGATGAATGGTAATGCTGGGGTTATGGGAGCGGGCATTCATGCGTTATGTAGGTTATCCCTCTGTGTTCATCGGGGATGTGGAGGCCTGTGATGTAACACTGTGGCTCTGTTTGGACCACAGGACTTACTGCAACACAGAGGAGCAGCACGAACACCGACACCTGACCCAGATTCAAGCCATCAAGATGTTTATGACGGGCCGCAGAACACACCTCAAATGTAAGAGACGTCTGAGACGGACCTGAATAAACTCTATGGAGCCTGTTTATCAGTGATCAAATTCTAATTATCATATAAGGCATAAATATAAAATACAAATAAATTAAGACTACTGCCTTTAATATAAAAAACACAGTTAAACAACAAGTCAGTGCAGTTTACATCTTTGTATCTCCAAAGGTTCATTTTATCCTATTAGAAATTGTCTGAAATAAATAAGAAATGAATTATTTAATTAGAGGTCCCAGTGACCGTTTGAACATCAACATCTAATCAGTTCAACATCTGTCCAAGTGAACGTTTGTGCCAAATTTGAAGAACTTCCCTGAAGGTGTTCTTGAGACATGACATTCAGGAGAATTGGACAAATATCCATACCAATGTACTTTTTATGCTAACATTTTTACAAACAAGCTGAAAATACCTCTGGCCACTGCTGTCACTGGTGTGAAGGGATAACAGATTAAAAGATGTTCTGGGACTCTCTGCAGGTGACAGAGAGCTGATCCAGGAAGTGTTGTTTGATGCTGTGGTCACCGCTCCGCTGGAGGCCTACTGGACTGGACTGGCCCTCAACAAGTCAGAGTAAGAACATTTTGGGCCCTATTTAATGTGTTTTTCGATGTCCACATCTACAAACAGCTGGTCATTAACAAGGGAGGTTTATTAGGGATTTCTAATAAGCCGTCAGTAAATGTTTGCAAGTCATCTGCAGTGAATAATGTTTGCAAATTATTGATGACAGAACAATCCATTAAGTCTGCATTTGTAAATGGTAATAAGTTGATCAAGTAGAAGAAACATCGGCCAACCTGGCAACCGAAAGTCATTCTTATTAATTTATTTCCAATGAAGCATTTTAAAACATTTACAAAGCCATAAGTTACAAAGTATGCTTATTTATTAAGCATACTTTGTAACTTAGGCCTTTTTAGAAAGTGGTACCCACATGTTTTTACAGACACTTCTGAAATCAAATACCTGCATGTCACTCACTCAAGTACCCCTGACATGAGAGCCGCGCAAGTTTTCCTTTTGTAGCAAGCAGCAAAATAATTGTAACATGACGTGTTTGAGTTCATTTGCCTACTTAATCTCGCACGTCCTAAAAAACAAATTAAAAATCGCACGTCCTGCGATGTCATTTATATATGAAAAGAAGCCTTCAGATTAATGAGAAGCAGATCTGAGTGATGTTGCATTAAAACATTTATAAAAGTCCTACACCTTATGACAGACAAACCTTAATGTGGCATTTTATTATTGCGTTTATACCATCAGTCGGGAATGAAAGCATTCAGATTCAAATACTTTTCACTGCTCTGCATTTCCCCCAACAGGAACTCAGACAAAGGAGTGGAGATTGCCTTCCTGGGTACGCGCACCGGCCTCTCGAGGACCAACCTGTTTGTCCCCGCCGATCAGCTGTCCAATCAGTGAGTCTCGCTGCTCAACACGTCTTTAATCATTACTCTGTGATTGTGCTTGATGAATCCAATCCTCTCCTCGTCGCCTCACTTTGGCTCTGCGTGCTTCCTCAGAGACTTCCTGACGGCGGAGGAAAAGGAGGGTGTGTTTAACGCCGATCACTTCCCTCTGTGGTACAAGCGAGCGGCGGAGCAGGTCCCCGGGGCGTTTGTGTACTCCATCCCCTTCAGCACAGGTATGCAGAACAAAGCCAGAGGTTAAGGAGCTCAAGTGCAGTACAAATTAAAAGTTCCCTGAGCACACACAAAACTACACCAGCTATTGCAGCTCAATAATCTGCATCTAACGTTTTATAAACCCATCTCAATATACTTTCAATTATCCAGTGTAGCATTATACAAATTACTCTTTTGGATTTCATGTGGTTGCTTGGGCTATTCAGCATTTTAACAACTTAATCAGTCTTTCTCTATGTCCCTCTTTTTGTTATGGATTGTGGTTTTTACTGGTTTCCCCTGATAGGATGTGCAGCACAGCTCACTTCCCTCACAGCTTTTATTCAGTTAATGTGGCCCACGTTCTGTCTGAGAGCCAGAGGATGGAGGACTTCAGCTTCTCTCTTCTGGACATTTACCACCTTTGCTCTGTTAAGGATGACTGCATCCTCCCGTTACCTGAACTCTTCCTATCACAGCAGCCATTTAAAAATTATTGAAGGCATCTGGCTGTAGAATAAAAATCTCTGGCTGGACATAACTGTAATGTAATGGGCTGGTACTGCGGTTTCTTTAGAGGCAACCAACTGGGGCTTCTGGGTAAACGGCACCATCTAGTGAGCAGAGAGTGTCATCTGATTATCCTCTGCTCTTCCCCTCTAGCGTTAGAAAATAAAAGTGTGGTTTTGGCCAGCACTGCAATCCAGCTCCTCGATGACAGAAAGTCTCCAATCGTTGCCGGTAACAAACCTCACAACCATTTTTCAAATCATTATTTTATTGATATTACTTTTGTATGTGATGCCATCTCTTACATGTTTGGTCTTGTGCTCAGCTGTAGGGATCCAGATGAAGCTCGAGTTCTTTCAGAGGAAGTTCTGGACAGCCTGCAGACAGGTAACTAAACAACAACCACTGCAGCTTTGTTTTACAACAAGAAGAGCTCTGTGATCAGGTGTGAAGATAAATACTTATGTTTTGTGCTCAGTGTACCGCTCTGGATGGAAAATGTGGCATTAGCTGTGATAGCGCGGTAAGTAAAGTCACACGGCTCTGACGTTTGAATTATTTTCTTTCAGGTTGTTTTGTTAACATCATTTCTTATATGCTCTTGTCTGATAGGACATTAACTGCTATCTCATTGACAACAATGCCTTCATTCTCGTCACAGAGGAGCCCTCTCAGGTACTGTGTGCGTGTAAAATACATCTATGAGTATACACCTGAACACAGGACTCCCATTTATCTAAGCTTTTCCAGTTGTCTTTTGAATGTTTTTCAATAACTCTTGAGCGTGTGTAGAGCAACACTGGACCGCTCTTCCAAATAGGATAGCTGAAAGATTTAAAGGGATGTAGGATGAAAGTTAAAGGAAGAAAGTCTACTTGTTTCACTCATAGCAGCAGCCCTGATATAAATACCAGTTTGTGTCTTTGTCTGTCGAGTTTTAAAAATTTGAAAAATCTAATTAGTTAGACTTATTAGTTCAAAGTTATTTTTCATTGGCTGTTCCCATTATTTTGTGTGCCTGTGTGCTTTGACACAACTCCTCTCTCAGACAGGGCTCTTCTTCGGAGAGGTGGAGGGTGCAGTTATGAACAAACTTCTCCAAATGGGGTCCTTCAAAAGGTCAGAGACACAACATCACATTTTTCTGAGCCCTAAACTGATACATTAAACCATTAAACATAAATGTCAAGTTTGACTTTCCATCCTCTGCTGCTCTGTTTGTGTTGCAGGATCACGCTGTATGATTACCAGGCGCTCTGCAGAGAGTTCGCTAGGAGCAGCGACAGTGCACGCTCTCTATCAAATGTAAGGCAGAACAGCAGCTGGTTTAAAGATAAAGACATAAGAAACAATACTTTTACTATCTGCTTCACTACTGTATATCTACACCTGAGTTAAAATCTGTGGTGGAACATGTGATTAGAGCAGAGTCTCAAAATGAACTCAAGCATTTAAACAACCTCAAACATATTTCAACTCATTTTGTTTCAGATTCTAACACTAAATACTTTTCTCTGTTTCAGCCCTTCACTGTTTTTAAGTGGCTCCTGGCTGAACTTGTCATGTAAGCAATATACTATATTATTTAAAGGAAGTGCACGTTACATAGGCCCATAAATGACATGATATGATGAAGCCTACGCAATGTGGTAAACTATTACAAGTGTTGTATTCATAGGAGGGAGAGGTAATTAGGTAATCACCTAGTGAATGATAAAAGTTTGAAAAATATAATTAATTGTATCAGTTTTATATATAGGTATTTACACGTAAAAATATATGATATGAACTGTTATTACTTCTTAGCTCGGCATATCTACTAGTAACATTATACATTGGCTAATGGTGGCTAAATACTCAATAGTGTGCTTAATAAGTAATACATATCATTTTTTGTATTAACAATGCTATACCCTAAGAAAAAAACGAGTTAACTATTCATTCATGCTTATCCCCAACTGATATAGTTTAATATTTAATTGCTGTCTCTGGAAACATTTGTTATAATGTGATCTTTGTGTTTGTCCTCAAGTTTTCTGCTAGAATTTAACCTGTACAGCTGGTGGAACGTGGATCTTTCTGTGAAAGGTAACTTCGGTTGTTTCAGGCTTGAGCGTCTTTCGGTTTCTCTGTGGTTTTGTAAAGCTAAAATTGCTTTGTCACACATTCAGCTCAGAGACCTCGAGGTAAAACCCACATGGTGCCGTGTGACACAGAATACCCTGCCTTTGTCTCCGAACGCACCATCAAAGAAACAACAGGCAACATCGACTGTGAGGGCTGTGTCAGGTACTGCTCCAGGCCTACTCATGAAATCATCACATCATCCCTGCCTTTCCTAACAAGAACTATTCAAAATAAACAGTAGATGTTCAGTCTGCTCCTAATCATATATATTTTTTAATTCTTATTCTCTATTTGTGCTGCAGATCTTTCGTCATACAGCAGATTCCCAGCAGCAACCTCTTCATGGTGGTTGTGGACAACAAGTGTGACTGCAGCAGTTATCCTCCAGTTACCATGGATCCCATCGAGATCATGTATATCCTTTCTAGAGGAAGCACAGATGATTCATACGTTGAAGCAGATGAAAGTAGATCATATTACTGATTGTGAAATATATTTACTTTTTTTCTGTAGAGCTTAGGTTTGACTTGCATCGGACTAAATAGGTTGTATTATTGTCAAGCTCTGAACATGTCCTGTTAATGTATATTTACACCCTTGACTCCTTTGAACACAACGAGTCACTAAAATGTGACAGACTGAAGTATCAGAAGGACAGGAAGAAGCCTGAATCCTGTCATCCTTTCCACCCTGAGGTAAGAGGATGTGTCTCTGTCTGCATGCAAGTGTGCGTCTACATGTACAGTGACAATGTTTAGTTGATGATGGGGGTATGGAGGAAGAGTCTGATTTATGTGCCGGAGTATTTCTTCACTTCCTGGACTTTTTACTGGTTGCCTCATGGTTACGGCAAAGCTTCAGGAAGCCACTGCTCATGGGCAAGAAATAGAACACATTTAGACGTATTATAGGCAGATTTTTTTAAACAATTAGCACCTAGCTTGGCTCTGTTAAACTAAGCAAACTAGTCGCTGCAGCTTCATATTAATAGTACTGAAGATAAGAGTGGAACCAATCTATCTCTCGAGTTATGAATGATGGCAAAAATGTTGAGTCATATATTGTATTATTTGTAACTGAGATTGAAAGCATGAAACAAATAAATGATTTATAGCTACATTTATATATCAAAGACGCATTTAGTTAATCTCATTCTGTTCAACTATAATAAACCAATAAACAAACAAACAAAGCACTTTGTCAGGATCATATAACTGTTGCAGATTGTTCTATAAGGCAGGAATTCAAAGTGAAACAAGTGAACCATTAATGTGAATTATCCCTGTAAGAAATTGAGAAACTCTGTGAAATGGATAACAAATCAGTTAAGCAGGATTTGACCATAACAGGATAATTTCAGCTTTAACAACTTGACTCTTATTGTTTATAGATATAGATTATATACAGAAAGTAAATGATATACTTATCAGCAAACTGTCAATCCACAGACCAACTCACTGCTTAAACTGTAGCTGTTTGAAACCAGCGTAGTGTTTTCCTGTTCAATGAGGGACTATTATTGACCAGGTGTTTCTTCTCAGTTTTACCTCTCCATGTGGTGAAGTGGTTCAACTGTTGTCTTGTTTTACAACCTCTACAAAAGACTATGGAAATAAGACGACTCGTCCAATAACTTCAGTTTATATCTATTAGCATCCACTCCTTTCTTCCAAGACAAAGCACATCAACCCTGATATTATTCATATGTATTAAAAAAGAGTGTCTTCTGCAGGAAAATGCCATGGAGTGTGGTTCAGCATCGCGCCTCTCCAGCCCTCTAGCCGCAGCTCTGCTCCCTCTGATAGCATCGACCATCAGCAGGTGACCTTTAGCAGCACGACCGGACTTCAGTACGGACTAACTCAACAAGAAGATGCTTATAAACACATAGAGAACATGGCCAATCAGAAATGAATTTGCTCATACCTGTGCAACAGGCAGCGCTCTACCAAGAAAACAAATCTTTATCCGTAGCACTAAGGCTCACATCCATTAAAGCAGTAAATATTAGTGATGTGGCGCAGCAACAGAACATGAGAATAGAGAGTGCTAGGTGACTTTGCTCAGAGCATTGCAGATTACACCACGACAGTTTTCCATAGTGTCACAAGTGTGTGCTGACATTTTAAAAGAGAAAGAAATACAGTCTGCCAACCGTAAAAACAATGCATTTCTAGTCAAAGTATAAAAAAAGTAATTTGTGCAAAGTATGATATTAAGACATTTAACATGTTTGATTCTTCGGTGAGAAGGAAGAAGTATAATGTACAGTAAGAGTATGTGGAATGTAAAATGCACTTGGTCACGTGAAGAGAATTCAGAGTGGTCTTTATTTTTGGCAGTAAGTTGCTAAAAACAGTTGACAGTGCCATCATTTTTATTTCTTTTAGATATTTTATTTTAGAACTTGCTTTATTCTGCCAGTTTCTCCTTGTTTTAAAGCAGAAGACATTTCAGACGAGTTAAAGATGCATGAAGAAGATCTCAGAATGTTCCATTGATATTACAGCCATAATGTGTGAAGGTGACCACAAACACGTATCCTCATGTTTGAGAGAGATGATGAATAAATACAAAGACATATTTTCCTTCCTTTATTTACCCCTGGTGTTATTTTCTCTGTGTGTCTGTTGGTTTCTGTGTGTGTGTGGGAACTGATGTAAAACTATGGATAAGGGATCAACTCAAACAATGAAATTCAAAGCAGTATAAATACATTTATAGGGCATAGTCACAGAGTTACTATACAAGTTACATCCGATTTAATAGATATACAGTATATATTAGGGTTTTCCCTTTTTTCAACTTGTGTTAATAAATGTAAAACTGCATACACAACATTAAACAGAAACACATTTACAAACTAGAAAGAGTCAACTTCTGCTTTAGGTAAAAGTTTGGCTAAATCTTTTTTTAATCTCAGTTTGGTTGATGAGAGAAATACATTTCAGTTGTCTAACATTAGTTTGGATTATAAAAGTTTACTTCAAACACATGGTTTGAGTGTGGCTGCACCGTGCTGTACATTTTACCCATCATCAGGTCTGAAGCAGCTGACTCCTCAGGGATGGTGCAGTACATATGGTATGTGTCAGACTGGGAAAAGAAAGAGAACAAATATACATATATAATTTATAGTTATATAAACCACACTATTTATGTTGCAGTTGTATTTATTTGTGTCTCTCATGCCAAGCTTACATTTTCAACTTTGGAATCCTGCCTTTTCACCTCATCAGGACCTGCCAGTGGAAAACACGCATGCTGTTTTAATTCAATGTCTGTATATCAAATCATACGTCTCTCTTTACTGATTATAAAACATACACAATGTGATGGAGTACACTCCCAGGGTTATGTTTCTGTTGAGAGAAGATTTCTATACCATCAGTTCTCAAACAATACTTTGCTCGCATCGTCGCATGTGAAAACAGTGTGAGGCCTGAGCACAGAGTTTATTTTGTCTCGTGCAGTGGTGGTCGCCCACACGCGTGGTTTATTTTACGTTTCAGATCTAGGTCTTGCTCGCCACAATAGATATTTTAGTAGATGTGAGCTACGTCAAATGTTCAACTGAACAAATGTGAAGCTGCTTTAAATATTTGTTTAAAACTGCAAATGACATTTAAGATCCAAGCCAAACGGTTTATATCTTGAGTAGTTCTCTCAAAGCAGATTCTGACCTTATGAGACAAACACATTGACACATTCATACCAGTTCTTCTGTTGTTGCAGAGAATTGCGGAAACCAGCAGGATGACGCCCACAGTAACTCCACATCCAGCCACAACAACTGCTACAAACTTCCATATTTCTGCTTTGAAACAACAGGAATATAAGTGTCAGTCCAACATCTGCTCCTCCCAACATTATCATGTACAGTGCATAAATACAACGATTCATCCAACACTTCCAGATCACACCATCATGTAACAAGTAAAGCTGAGTATAGCTTCGTTACTGATACAAAATAAATCAAAATCATATTGTAAACCTGAATTAAAGTTTAAACAATGTAAGAATTAATATTAGTATGTAACTACAGTACATAGTAACATTTTTTTTTTAATTTACATTTTTGGAATATGTGCAAAGGGTCCTCTTAAGTAGCAGGCATACTATCAATGGAATATTATGAGTGCAGACTGCCCACAAATATTTGTTTAACATGAACTGTACGTTAAGTTTGTATATTAAAGGGTAGGTACGTTTGAGAAACCGGCTCGAGATCGCTAGAATTTGAAAATACACAACCGGAGAAAATCTGCCACTTCCTTATAGAGCCCCTCCTCCAACACACACGAACGCGCACATGACCAATAGAGTGGCGAAGTCCCTCCCACTTACTTCCGGGGTATGGGACCTTATTTCGGAAAAATTATGCATTGAAGTCAATGGGGAGAGAAAACTTATCTTTCGATCCCGTTTGAATTGTGCCATGAATTACACATATGATGTTTGTCAATCTTAAAAAATCATTTCCATGTCAAAAAAGTCACAGTTTGTCTTAAAACTGTTGAAATATAAGACTTTGAAAAATACGAAACTAGAAAGACTACAAATCCCAGAGTCGCGTAAGTGATGTCACAATTGAGACACTACGATACACGTATAATACCGTATATATACGATCAGCGCCATATAGATAGAATCTATCTATATGGCGCTGGCTAAGATAAGATAACTTTGTGCCTGTGTGCTTAGTACCAGGTTGTTATTATACCAGCAATGGGTCTTGCTCGTTCTTTCGCTTCCCGTCTGATGAAAGAGGAGTGTGTGGATCAAGTTAGCTACCTAGCTAGTAGCTAGCACGTTAGTTAGCATTACAGTCTTGTCATTTTTATTAGCCTTAACATGAAGTAACATTAATTAACCCAAAATGTTAAACAGTAAGAGTAGTAGTCATATTTCGTGAACCCTTTGAATAGTACTGTCACCGGTGTGATCATTCTATAATACACAATTTAAGCCCGGGGGAGAAATGCTAACGCTAACGCTAGCGATCTTCTCTACTTCATGCTATCTGCACAAATGGTTGACATTAAACATTAAAACGACCAGGCAGTTCAGAGAGAATCAAAGGAAGGAAGGCAGGCAGCTTTGCATGACATTCTTCAGGACGTGTTTCATTGTAGTGATAGTGAGGGTAGTCTCTTGTGTTGACAAGACAGTAGTGACGGCCATCTTGGTGACGTGTGTTGTTGACCAGAGATCAGAAGTAGTTCTTTGAGCGTTTCACACAAACAAATGTGTTACTTCACAGTTTTACGACACTTTTTTTTTTTTTGACTTGCAAAATTATCTTTTAAATTGACAAACAACATATGTGTAATTCATGGCACAATTCAAACGGGATCGAAAGATAATCTTTCTCTCTCCATTGACTTCAATACATAATTTTTCCGAAATAAGGTCCCATGGAGGTCCACCGGAACGGGAGGGACTTCGCCACTCTATAAGGGCACGAGATAAGTTTGTGCACAGATGGAAGGCTGACAGGCAGGTAGGCCATCCAGTTGTTTTAGCCGGGCCGGTTAAAATGATTGGTCATACTTTTTACAGTATTACGGCTTCCACAGATGACATTTTTGTATGGATTTTTTGTCAAAGCACTTAAAGGTGGGGTAGGTAAGTTTGAGAAACCGGCTCGAGATACACTTTTTGTTATATTCCATGGAATGCTCTTAACATCCCGATAGCAATGAATATCTTAAGTGCTTTGACAAAAAATCCATAAAAAAATGTTATCTGTGGAAGCCGTAATACTGTAAAAAGCACGACCAATCATTTTAGCCGGCCCGGCTGAAATAACTGGATGGCCTACCTGCCTGTCAGCCTTCATCTGTGCACAAACTTATCTCGTGCCCTCATTGGTCATGTGCGCGTTCGTGTGTGTTGGAGGAGGGGCTCTATAAGGAAGTGGCAGATTTTCTCCGGTTGTGTATTTTCAAATTCTAGCGATCTCGTTTCTCAAACTTACCTACCCCACCTTTAAGATATTCATTGCTATCGGGATGTTAAGAGCATTCCATGGAATATAACAAAAAGTGTATCTCGAGCCGGTTTCTCAAACTTACCTACCCTACCTTTAAGTATCCGTTCCTGTTTTTGTTTTGCCAGGATCTGTATTCAAACAATTGAATGTCCTTCACAGACTGACCAGAGAGTGACCAATCAGCAAACATCTTCTTAGTATGAGCAAGACATAAGACATATTAAAATGTTGAATGAGTCAGTATGAATAATGGAATAATGATTTCACCTGATGCTGCTTTCACTGGTGTTGGGGAGGAAGAGGAGGAACTACCAGTGTTCTTTGACATTACGACAGTCCAACCTTGTGAAACAACAAAAGTATATTTAAAGTACTCGATGCACTCAAACACCTATATGGTAAATAACTTATTTCTGAATCAATATGTGGAAATGTGTTACCTGATGTCTGTTTTGCAGGTGTTACAGGGGGTAAAGGATAAGGACTAATAACAGTCAGACCTCGCAAATGAAAACACAAAGAGTATAACAACATTTCAAACAAATTGGTAATTAAGTGCTATTTTATAATGTTCTTGACTGCAGACCTAAATGGACAGTTCCCCCCAAAATTAAAAATATATATATGTTTCGTGTGGCAGGTATTTTAGGCAGAAACAAAAAGCTTCCTACATGAAACTGTTGACAAGAGGTCGGTAAATACTTTTGGGAAATCACAGGCATGATTTTTAAAAAGAGATATTTCTGTTGAATTTTTCAAATGTACTTTCTGGCACAGAATCAGAATACCTTTATTCGTCCCACAAAGGGGAAATGTAAAGGTGCCATGGTTCAATTGCGTATCTCTATAATAAATAAAATGTCCTACCTGTGGAATCCTTTGATGGTGCGATCGACTGGGTGGTGCTTGAATTGTTTTCTACAATATCTACAAAAAGAGAAAAATGTTCAGCATTCACAAATGAATAAATGTTCATGTATTATTTGTGTGTCTAATATATATGTCTATTGTTGACACCAATCCATCATAAGCTTATGTGTATAACCATTCAGTAAATAAATACTTTGATTAGAAATGTATTTTCAGTATTTCTTTCTTCGCTTGGATTTGAATTTCCTAACAAAATATTCACACCTGCAATTACATAACTTTTGTCTAAAATAAATATATGTATTGCTGTGGATGAGAGTAAAAGTCACTCACTGTATATGGTGATGGAGGACGGGTCACTGTGTGGAGAATTTGACCCTTCAAATGTTACATTGTAAAAACATTTCACTTGAACCTCAGCAGGTGATCTCTGCTGTGACATCAGCAGCAGCTCAGTTCCTGTCAGAGTCTTCAGACAAGGGAAGACTCTGACAGTGAGTCCACTTAAAGTGTAGAAGTAACAGTGAGACTCAGAAACAGAGGGTGGAGTCTGACAGTGCAGAGTGACTGAGTCTGTCTCTCTGATCACCGGAGGATTCACTGTCAGTGTCGGTGGAAGAGGAGCTGGAAATATAAGGATGAGTTCAGTTCAAAAGCTGAATATGTAATTTGTTTAAACCATTGCTGTTGGTCATTTATATATAATGGCAGAGAATGCCTAATGAAAACCTGAATAGCTATTGTGTTCATAGTGAGTATCAATAGTGTTGACTCCCTTTGAATAATGGAGGATACATCACTCTCAGGGGATTTATATTTGTCACACTTTTCTTTAAAATAAATATTTGTATAGCTGTGGATGGAAGTAAAAGTCACTCACTGTGTACGGTGATGGAGGACGGGTCACTGTGTCGAGATAGAGAATTTGACCCTTCAAACGTTACATTGTAAAAACATTTCACTTGAACCTCAGCAGGTGATTTCTGCTGTGACATCCTCAGCAGCTCAGTTCCTGTCAGAGTCTTCAGACAAGAGAAGACTTTGACAATTCCTCCACTTAAAGTGTAGAAATAACACTGAGACACAGAAACAGAGGGTGGAGTCTGACAGTGCAGAGTGACTGAGTCTGTCTCTGTGATCACCGGAGGATTCACTGTCAGTGTCGGGGGAAGAAGAGCTGGAAATCGTGCAGGAAATACAGTATGTTAAATGTTATCACTCAAAAGCTGCAATAAGACAATGAAACCAAATGCTTTTAAAATACTGAATAATTAAATTGATATAAAAGTATTCTTAATGGGGGAAAAGTATGTAATATAGATGATGGAGAAAAATATATACTTTACAATCAAATAGTTTGTAAGATAAGTCAAATCATTATCCAACCATAAAAAACCTGGATATTAAAGACAACCGATCAGAGACTGACCTTGTGCTTGATACATGTGATAGAAATCTGTTGAAAAAATAATTAATAAGTGAGCAAGGTGACTACATGTAAAGTTAACAAATTAATGACTTCAACAACAACAACAAATGTAACATTTGAGCCAGTGTTTCTCCTCCCCAGTAAGACCCACAATCAGCGAAGGGAAAAGTATAGGCAACAAGAACACATATTAAATATAAGATTAAAAGATTAAATATGAATCCCTTTTAGAAGCTTTCAAACTGTTTGCTCTCAAGCCACCACCAAATCTCTATAAACAGTTTTGAACAAGAGACGTGTGGGTTAGCAATATTAAAAAACATGATTTGCTTGTGTGCATAAGTTTGTAATAACCTACATTAATACTGAATAAATCAATAAGAGGTGTAACTTACACATGAGGATGACAAACAGCAGGCGTCCAGCCATGATGAAGCTTGTGTGTCTGACTGTGTGAAAGTCTCAAGTGTAATTTAACAAAACGCTCAGGAAAGCCACAGGTAGCTTTAGAAGTGAATAACATTAACATACAGGCCACAGACACACACTTCACATCCTTTTTAAATTGCCTATATGGTTTTCATTTTTGGAGTGTCTCTACCACACAAGAGTCTCAGTGCTTAAGAAAGATCAGTACGTGTTGTTTGGTTGATAAACAGCCACTGTGAAGTTCCTATGTGTGTGTGTGTGTGTGTGTGTGTGTGTGTGTGTGTGTGTGTGTGTATATATAAAACACTTTAAAGAGTATACGCAAGTCTTCACTGACTGAGTGTCAAAGTACACATGTTTGTCAGACCATTATAAAATGTCTCATTAGTGTAATTCATATTTTTTAATCATCCTATAAACATTTTTTTACAAACATTTGTTATTGATGTTCTCCTTGATTGTATCCCATATACATTATGCATGTATGACTGACTCCATTTGTGCATGTTTGTGTTTAAGGGATGAACCAATTAATATAACCCTGATCTACGACTTCTAAAATGAAGGAGACTTCATAATCATGGTTAATCTTTTTTTTATTTGAAGCATTGCACAAATGAAACATGACATACTCATGTCTATACCTGGACATAATGATCTAAATGAAAGTAACAAAAATTCACAAATAAATGCAGAAAAATAAACGCTGGAATCTAAATGAACTTTGATGGTGCGCGGTCTCTCTCAGGACTGATGTAGCTTCTCTGCTGTCGAAAAGAAAGAAACAGACAAGCATTAACTGCCCTCAGTAAAGTTTAGAGGTCAGTCATCATTATGCATTTTTCAACATGTAAAGGTGTTTATTTTCTGATACACTGCAATCAAAACTTTGTTTGCACCTGAAAATGCTCATTTTAATAAGTGTACCTGCACATATTTTACATTTCTCATCCTGAAGCATTTAGCAGAACTTGCCCCGCCAAGTGTCTAACAACCTCATACTTTAAACAGGAAGAGAAAAGCTGCTCACCACTGTTGCATTTATAGGTGACGACACTGAAGGTCTCATCATAATCACCCTGCAAACCACTGATGTTTGCTTTTGGTCTAAATAAAAATAAACAACTGTTAGGTACAGGAATACAAAGGATTTCAAAAGCACAGTATGCATTTGCCAATTTAAATACTGAATTTCTCTCCCTAAACATTCTGCATGGCCTTTTTGCCTTTTTGACCTGAAAGCTGTCACCATTGCTCTGCTGAGTCCTTCAGGTCAAAACATACCTGCCACTGCAGCATGCTCCACCACCTCAACCTTCTTCTTCTGCTTTTTATTCATTTTGCTGACTTAACAGAGATCTAGTGTGATTTCTGAATTATGTTTGCAATGATATCATTAATGTGCCAGAGTGTTTGTTTTCCCAGCAGAGTGATCACTGCTGCTGAGACTCCTTAAGAATGAAAAAGACACCGTAATGCCAAATGTTTCTGTGAAGCGGAGCAGCTCAGAGGCGCTCTGAATGAATGTCTGAAGGTATGACCATAAACCAGAGACATAATGGAAACAAACATAAATACTGGTATTCATTGAAGTGCAACTGATAGCACCTGAGAAATATGAAGTCTTACCTTTTCGAAATGCAGTTTTCTAGAAAATGAAAAAATGAAAAAAATGTATTTTTTGTTGAGACAAGATTTCTATACCATCAGTTCTCAAACAATACTTTGCTCGCATGTGAAAACAGTGTGAGGCCTGAGCACAGAGTTTATTTTGTCTCAGTGCAGTGGTGGTCGCCCACACGCGTGGTTTATTTTACGTTTCAGATCTAGGTCTTGCTCGCCACAATATATATTTTAGGAGATATGAGCTACTTCAAATGTTCAACTGAACAAATGTGAAGCTGCTTTAAATATTTGTTTAAAACTGCAAATGACATTTAAGACCCAAGCCAAACGGTTTATATCTTGAGTAGTTACTTTTTTTGATTAAATGATTGAAAACAGATTCTGACCTTATGAGACAAACACATTGACACATTCATACCAGTTCTTCTGTTGTTACAGAGAAGTGCAGAAACCAGCAGGATGACGCCCACAGTAACTCCACATCCAGCCACAACAACTGCTACAAACTTCCATATTTCTGCTTTGAAACAACAGGAATATAAGTGTCAGTCCAACATCTGCTCCTCCCAACATTATCATGTACAGTGCATAAATACAACGATTCATCCAACACTTCCAGATCACACCATCATGTAACAAGTAAAGCTGAGTATAGCTTTGTTACTGATACAAAATAAATAACAACATCTCATTGTAAACCTGAATTAAAATTTAAACAATTTAAGAATTATTATTAGCATGTAACTACAGTACATAGTTTTTCCTTTGCCAGGATCTGTGTTCAAACAACTGGATGTCCTTCACAGACACCAGAGAGTGACCAATCTTCTTAGTATGAGCAAGACATAAGACATATTCAAATGTTGAATGAGTCAGTATGAATAATGGAATAATGATTTCACCTGATGCTGCTTTCACTGGTGTTGGGGAGGAAGAGGAGGAACTACCAGTGTTCTTTGACATTACGACAGTCCAACCTTGTGAAACAACAAAAGTACATTTAAAAAAACTTGATGCACTCAAACACCTATATGGTAAATAACTTATTTCAGAATCAATATGTGGAAATGTGTTACCTGATGTCTGTTTTGCAGGTGTTACAGGGGGTAAAGGATAAGGACTGATAACAGTCAGACCTCGCAAATGAAAACACAAAGAGCACAACAAAATGTCAAACAAATTGATAATTATTGTAAGTCTACACAAACTGGAAGATTGACAATAAAGTTGACTTTGACTGACTTTGATAATTAAGTGCTGTGCAAAAAATATATATATACATTTTGCGTGGCAGGTATTCTCGGCCGGAAAAAAAAGCTACCTATATAATACCTTTATTCGTCCCACGAAGGGGAAATTTAAACGTGCTATAGTTCAATTGTGTGTCTCTATAATAAATAAAATGTGCTACCTGTGGTACCCTTTGATGGTGTGATCGACTGGGTGGTGCTTGACTTGTTTTCCATTATATCTACCAAAAGAGAAGATGGATTGTAGATGAAACATTTCAGCTTTCATAAATAAATCAATATTAATGTATGGTCTGGGACAGCCTTATGTTTGTGTGTGTTAGATATATGTCTATTGTTTACCCCAGTCCATCATAATGATTCAGTATAAAGTACTTTGATTAGAAATGCATTTTCTTTTTTAAACGTATCACCTGTATGATTGCCCACAGATGGAACTTTAGAGGAAATAGGGGTTGTCAAATCAGTATTTCTTTCTTTGCTTGGATTTGTATTTCCTAACAAAAAAATCACACCTGCAATTACATCACTTTTGTCTAAAATAAATATATGTATTGCTGTGGATGAGAGTAAAAGTCACTCACTGTATATGGTGATGGAGGACGGGTCACTGTGTGGAGAAGTTGACCCTACAGTACATGTTTTACAGTGTAAAAACATTTCACTTGAACCTCAGCAGTTGATCTCTGCTGTGACATATGCAGCAGCTCAGTTCCTGTCAGAGTCTTCAGACAAGGGAAGCCTCTGACAATTCGTCCACTTAAAGTGTAGAAATTACACTGA